CTCGCGATTGCTCATCGCGCTTCTCTCGGATCCACCTCTCTCCTCTCCGTCTTCGCCGTTCCTCCTCCACCAACTGCTTCTCTCTCTCTACACACGCACGCTCACGAGCCTGGCTTTCCTGTTTAAAGCCGACATCATGATGCTGGAGGCTGACGTGGTGCTGGGCAGACTGAACGGAACGAATAACACCGAAATCCCGATAATGGCTCATCCGCCGGCGAACGAGAGCACTCTGTCGCTGGACGAATTCCTGAGGACCGTGCAGAACAACACGAAGAAGGGCATCAAGCTGGACTTCAAGAGCATCGAGGCCTTCAACGCGAGCAAGCCTATCTTGGACAAATTTCGCAATGACGTACGTATCCCGCACGCGTATTTATAGACCGGCTCGTGCATCTTTGCGAAGCCCTTCGCGCTCCGTTTCACCGATAGCCTCTGTCAAACGGTATTCCACAGAAGTCCAGGGTTATTTTTACCAGCATCGCCGATGGCCACGCGTTTCTCGCGGTCCGGAATAATTCTCAGCCTTTGACCGTTCGAGTACTCTCTCTCTCTCTCTCTCTCTCTCTCTCTGCGCCCACGATCTCGATAATCTCACCGTCTTTTTCACTTTCAGCTCAAGATCCCCGTGTTCCTGAACGCGGACATTCTGCCCGGACCGGTGGACGCCACCGCGAAACCCGTCGACGCGAAGGCTTTCCTGGCACAGGGTAAAGCGTATCCCGATTGGACGCTGTCGGTCGGCTGGACCACCAGGTATACACAACCGCGACGCGAGATAGGAACGGAAAGTAGCAACTGTGACACTGCTGCGATCCTCGCGACTTGATCGATCCGGTGTTTCAGGTACGGCAACAAGGACAACGTCACCGAAGGTCGGTACACCGGGGATCAGATTCAGAAGATGATCGACGAGTTGAAGGAACAGAAGGTGACCCAGCCGATAACTTACCCGGTAAGAGCGGGCCTAGCCGCGCAGGACAGCGACGTGATCAAGACGCTGATGGAGAAGAGCTCCGGCATGAAGAACGTAACTCTGACCGTGTGGTCGAGCGAGGGCGACAAGGTGGACGCGGAGAAGTTGTCGACGTTGATCAAAGATATCGGTGTGACGAAGGTGTTCGTCGACGTGCCGCAAGAGCTGATGAAGAGCCTCCGCTTGTCGGGTGCGTCGAGCGTAGGCGTCGCGTCGATCACGCTCGCGACCACCATCTTCGCCAGCGTTTTCCTCCCCACGATATTGTGAACGGTTTGAACAATTTTCCTCGCGTTTCGCGTGCACTCGGGGGAGGACAGGGACGGAGGGATCTCGGCGTTTCCTTCCGTCGCCACGGAATTTGCTTACCCCCCGACGAAGGAAGGAAACGAGGCTGACGAAACGAGATGGTATCGCGGTCGGAAGCTCGTCGGGATTTTAATCAATCAAAAAAAGCATTCTTCGATATGTAACGATCGCCCCGATCGGACGTTCTCGTTAGAATCTTCATCGTGGACATGTACTTTCTAGCGTATAAGCTTATTCGCAAACGTTTTTTCTAAGTATTTTAAGGGAGCTTTCTTAGATATACGATTATTCCCCTCGATCGTGGCGAGACAACCTTGCTTTCAAACACTCCATCGTTCTGCTCCTATTTTCTTTCGCCATTTTCCAAACACACACACACACACGCGCACACATATACATACACACACGGCGGCTATTTTCCATCGCATCGACACGTTTCGTAGATTTCCAGCACGATCGAACGCGACGCGAGGTCACTGCGTTGGTATCGTTCGTTCCGTAGGAAGATCGTTTCGATAGTTGGAAGAACTGTACCTAATAGGAATAGACACCTCGCGTCGCGCCTGATCCCGCTGGAGAAATTGCGATTGACTCGGTGTTTGGCAAATCGATCGGACGACGAATTCTCGTACATTCGGCGTACGCACGACGTATCGTGGAATCGGGAATGGCGACAAGGGAATCCAGATCGACGGATCACACGCTCTGGCGCACTGATCACGCGTTTTTGCACCATTTACACCTTCGGGACGCGCGGATCTTTTTCTACGATGCCGCGTCGAACGCGAGACTTGCTCGTAGCGTGTTTTATCGTACCCGTTTAGTGTTCACCGACGTATCTCCTGTACCTGCCTTTAACATATCTCAGACATAGGTGCAGAAGGAGGTTGCAGAGCGAAGGAAAAGCAGGAATCGGAAAAGAAACGCGGTATTAGAGTTGTACGTAAGCTGTGTAACGCGTATATCTGTAAGCCAAAGGATTGTGAATGCGTAAAACGGTGCCGGCGCACCGCGTTTGATAACGAAACAATAAAACTATGTGCAAAATTCATCCGATTCGTCTATTCATCCTAGGGTACCTGCCTTCTCCGCGGGCTGGTACCCGCGTTCCCTCGCGACGCGGGGCAACCGCGCATGCGTCGTTTCGGCGAGAAGATGCGAGCGCGGAGGAGCAGGTTTTCAGAGTCGCCATCCGTGACGCGGGTGGTCCATTTCTAATCCCTGGAACGGAGGATCGGTCACGCGGCGCGTGTCGCGGAATACGAGGCGCTGCCTACCGTTCGGGTCGGGTCGATTCCCTAGATTAGTTACGGAAAACGCGACAAAGGCGATCATTCGAGGATCACCCCTCGATGGAATAGGTTTGGTGAGAAAAATGGAATAACAAAACGGAAACCGCGAAGCGTATCCCGGGACGAGATGGACGGAGAAAAATCGCGTAGATCGGCTATCGCGCGAAGCGCTTAATTACCAAATTGAAAGCAGCGCTGGCCAAACATGGCAGAGAGCCCGTTACCGACCGAACGCTCCTCGGGCTGGTGTTTGCGCTACCATTTGACACGAGCGATGCAGGCGTAGAGGCGAGTCCCTAGTTTAATCTTTTCTATTTGCCTTTCGATTATTCCCGATTCGCTCTCGTAACCGTTTAACTCGCTTCGACCGGCCGGTTAATGCTCGTTGCGTGCCGGCACGACTATAGATAATAACGGAGGAATTTCATTGTCTATCGACGCGACGAGAACGCCAATTATATCGAAGCGTTCGAATTCCGAACACGGGGAATTTTTCCGCGGCAACGTTCGGTGCCAAGGTGACGCGGTGAAAGAAAACGAGCAGGGGCCCGTGGGAGGGTGCCGTTGGCGGACGGCGAGATGTCAGGGGTCGCCGGTAGCGCGGCGAGTGGCCTTCGATGAAGCTGAGGAAGGTATTCCGGCTATCGGACCCGCTCCTCCTCTCCTCTCCTCTCCTCTCCTCTCCTCTCGTCTCGTCTCCTTTCGTCTCGGACCTCTCACGGTCCACAGGTGCGCGCCGTGCGAAAGCACCGACGAAAACGCGATTGCACGCTCCGCGAGGTGCCACCGTCTGCCTCTCGACGGCTCCGTCGCGAAGCGTGAAACGTTGCGTAATGCGCGACGAATTCGAAAGGAGGAAAAAAGTCGGACAAAGTTGACACGGAGAAGTCGAGTCGCGAACTACGATTCCAGGGAGTAGCAAAGTGACCTACAAGCATAATCTCGCGAGATAACCTCGTGAACCTGGGCAAAAGTTTTTAGATGGAAAGCTGCGTGCCTCGGCTCTCTACGCGCCGATGTCAGCCCGGTTTTCTCGTAGGTCCGTGTAATCTCAATCGCTTCCTGTTCTCGATTATAGCTCGCGCGCGCGACGAGATGGCGGAAAATCCAGACGATTTCTCGCGCGACACAACGATTTCTCGGTCGGACGACGTCGTTCGCGATATTCGTGGTCGAAACGCAGGGTTTTCCCCGGGTGGAAAAGAGAGGGGATCTTTAGAGCTAATTTTCCCAAGTGTTGGCGAAAATCTCGACGGAATTGCACGGGGGAGGGACCGCGGTTGCCTTTTCTCTCGATCGGGAAGGGGTGCCAGAGGGATCGTTGGCTCGGATGCGCGTTCGTGGAGAAGAATCGGCGACGCGAGATAATCGGGGGAAATATCGGCGGGAAAAATGCATTCCGGGGACCGGTGCGTTTGTCAGCGGCACGAGCACCGGGATGATCGCGGCTCTTAATTTCACCGGCGTGCCGCGTGGAAACGACTGCATTCCGCGGGAGTGTCTTACAGAGTCGGAGACCGCGCGTCGTTTATTCGTCTGCTCGTCCCTCTCACCTGGCCTCTCGAATCATTTATCTGGCAGGCTGATTACACGCGTTCCACGCCGGCACCGCTCGAATTCCCCGACCAGGATGCAATTTAATCGTCGTTTTCGCGGCGGCGCGTTCGGCCTGCGCCGCTGATTCCGACAAATCGCCGCGAATTAATAACGGTAACGCGATGCGGCGAAAGTGAAACGATTAACCCGCTGGTACATTTCGACGCGCGCGTCGCCGTATCCGTCGCGACGTCCGCGGGAGAAAGCCGGGGCACGGTGGACAGGCGATAAAGCCGATACGGAGGAAAGGAGACGGCGTGGATAAATTTCCGAGGGCGAATTCTCGTGCACGGGACGGAGGGAACCGATGACGCCTGGTGATAGGTCGCGAACGGGGGGCGGCTTTATCGAGGATCGAATCGGAGCGGAAGCCAGTGCCGAGGGCTACCGTGTGTTTATTTATCGCGGCGCGCACCACGGCCGGCTTAAAAGGGCGACAAAAAGCGTCTGACGACCTCCGTACGCGACGAAAAACCAGTCCTCGTTGTACCGGTTGTAAGGCAGGCATCGCGATCCTATCGACCTCTCGTGCTCGCGCCAGTCCCTCTCGACCGGATTTCGTGGCACCGCCGGACCCCGGTTCCTCCCGGGGTATCTCTGAATGGCGACGCGAAAGTGAATGGGAGCCGGGAAGGCGAAAAGGGCGGCCGGTCGCCGGCGTCGATCTCTCCGGACGATCGTAAAATCGGGACGGTACACGAATCGGTTGCGAACCGTGACGGGAACACGTGTACCGGCTGCCACGGCTCGATACGGGTGGATAAAGGGAAACGCGTACCGGTGATGCCTTCCTCCGTCTAGCGCACCGTCGTCGGCTTCCGAATCCGAGCGTCGTCCCGACGCCACCGCGACATAACCGAACCGAGCGTAGACGTAAACGACTCGAGCCGCGTGGCTGCCAGTCCTCGGAGCAGCGTCGTCGCGGTCGTAGTCGTATAATTGGTCGCCGAAAAGGGGGAGAGAAAGAGAGAGCGAGAGAGAGAGAGAGAGAGAGAGAGAGAGAGCAGGGCTGAAGGTTGATTGTCGGCCACGTGGTGAGAGAAAATTGAAGAAAAGCGAGAGTGAAGGCGGTTTGATAGCGAGGATTTCGGTCGGGACGAGAAAAGGTCGTGGTCGTGGCGGTCGGATGGGACCGCGTCCCGGAGCCAAGGTGTACCGCGGCGCGTCCACTGGGAGTCCGTGAAACAGCGTGTGCACGGTTGTTGCGGTGGCACACACGAGAGCACAGGTGAGGGACGAAGGGGACGCAGAAAAGTCGGCGGCCGAGGGTGACGGAGGGGGCGGGAGAGGGAGACGAATATCGCCCGCACGCATGCGCGCTGCGTTCCGCGATCTCTCAGGCCGGCGGCCGGAGAGGCTGGCCTCAGTCGCCCGCGACATTCGGTCCGCGATACGATTCGGTGTAATCTCCGCGTGCTCTGGACTCGAGCGAGCAGTGCGAAGCCGGTATCGGCTGCGAGGACGCGCGCGCGCGCGCCTTTCGATCCCGTTTCACGTTCATCGTAGAGAAAAGTGCGCGGACACGCGTGTCACGACCCTCGTCTCCATCGTCGTCGTCGTCATCATCGTCGTCGACGTCCCGTCGATCCTGCGATCGAGATCCCCGAGTGGAGAATCGGCGAACGAGTACGAGTGACAGGCAAAGATCGGTAGGCGAGCGAACGCGCGCGATGGACGCGCGGTGAGACGCGCGCAGCGTTTGCCGGAGACGACGATAGCCGAGAGGTTGGAGAGGAGAGCGCGTGGAGAGTGGTCGGTTATCGCGGGGACATTTTTGCGGAATCGGAACGACGAGTGAACTGGAACGCGGCCAGAAAGGCAGAGAGACGTTGCACGGGAGCGAAATTCGCGATACTCTGGTTCGCTCGCTTGGATCGCGCGCGCCATCCGTACCACGTGGTTCAACGGTGAGATCCCGTCACCGTTACGTTGATTCTTCGAGAGTCGCGGAGACTAATAATCGCCTTTGGCGATCGAACCGTGCCGCCGCATCTAGCTCGCGCGTTCCACACGCCACCTCTAGCACCGGCGGCGTCGTAAACCGCGCGCGGTCGATCATTAATGTCTCGATCGCGGCAACGGCCAGTCGCGGATCCTGCTCAGACGACGTGGTGCCGCCGCGAGTTCGTCGCGATGCATCGTTGACCGAGCCGGAGCGCCCAACCCCACCCCGCGTTTTCGCCGACGAAATCTCGCGTCGCTGGGATAATAATGTAAGGTGCACCGTGGAAGACGACGCACGGCTCCGAAGACGAAATGACGCGCGACAGCAGGCTGGTGGTGTTATTCTTCGTCCTTCTGATGGCATACGGTCTGTTCGTGGTCGAGGCTAGTAGGCATCCGCGCGAGAACACCGCCAACGACGCCAGACACAGACACAGGCACCGACACGAGTCCTCGAACGGGAGAAGAAATCGTCATGACCTCGTCCTGGACGGACCCCGATCCTCGTCTTGGTCGCAGGAACTCGACTACGAGGAGGACTCGGTGTTGGCCGCCGCAGATCGAGAGAATCGAGAGGACGAGCAGAGGGAGGAAGATGATTACGAAGCTCGGTCCTATTACGAGAGATCCTATCCTCTACGAGGCTCGAGGATCGCCGTTCACGGGCGGATGTTCGAATCGCGTTACCCGACTAGGTATCACCGAGGCGGTTATCGCGGAACCGGCTGGTACGACGAGGACGACGAGAGACGCAGAGGTTCTCCTCGATACCAGCCCGGTCGCGGCTACAGGCTGAGGTCCGACAGCAGGACGAGCCATCGCAGGCTCGTCGGCTATTCGAGAAATCGCGAGGCCGAGTACGACTCGAACGAGGAGGAGTACGACTACGAGAAACCGCGCGTCCACAACGAGGACGACAGCGCCGACGGGCATCGTGCTTGGTGGAAAAACGGCAGGAAGCACAGGATCGCGGTTTCCAGGTACGCGAGGAAGAGACATCGCTCCGACCAGTCGGAGCCCGCGAGAAGATTCGACGATTGGAGGAGAAGATCGAACTCGACCACCGAATCCAGACTATCCTCGTATTCGAAGACGGACAACAGGAGGAGGATGGAGAATTCCGACGACTACGATTACCACGTGGACGACGCGTACGACGCGGATAGAGATGACGAGGACGAGGAGAGTTGGAAGGAGAGCGAGGACGAGGACGAGGACGAGGACGAGGAGGAGGACGAAGAGGACGAGGAGCTCGACAACGACTTTTACAAGAGCGAGAAGAAACCGCCGCTGAAAACTTACGACGACATCATCAAATGGTTGACGTCCGACGATCCAACCACGCCGAGACCCACGGTCAAGCGGGACTATAGAAACATCGAGGTAGACAGATATACGAAGCGAGACGGCTACGGGAATTTCAAGTACGAGCCGAGGAACTACACCAGGCCGGTGATTCACGAACGCGGCAAGAACGTCGGCTCCTCTGCCTACGTCAACGCGGCTGCGTCCGGTTCGCGTCAGTCGACGCCGAGAAAGTTTGCCGAAAATTTGCCAGGCAAACTGTTGGGTTCGTTGATCGAGCGTAAATCGCCGAAGAACGTCGGTAACCTCGCGACCAAGAACAAAGCCGGCTCCTCGAAGATGGACGATAATCAGCCAAAGACCAAGAGTCTCGAGCAGGATTACGACGAGTACGTGAACGCGCCGGACAACGAGAAGGAGGAGGATCTCGCGAAGGCTGGAGTGGACGAGGACACCGGCATGCAGGCGGACGTCACTAATTCGGTTAGTCGATACGCTTTCACCCATATTTTTCTCCATTTCTCGCGTCTCGAGATCGGCCTAGGAAATTCCTAACGAAAGTCCGAGCGGAGCGGCGCGTAGTATCTCGATACGCAGAGGCGAGTGGCGTGTAGTCGCGGGATTAGCCGGTAGTCGAGATGGATGATAAACGCTAGACGGACGAGGAATTCCTGTTCTCTCCGATGGCGGAACAGATTTACGAGCGTGGTACCGGCCACCTGATTATGCGGGATTAGATATTTCCCGATCGTCGGATCGAGCTTGTCTCGTGGTCGACCTTGATAACGTTCGCGCGTGGCCGCGGATCCTCCACGGCCGATCTCTCTCCCCTGCAGAAATCCGCTCGCGCGGCGCGACTCTCGCGTTCCGTTCCGTTCCGTTCCGTTCCGTTCCGTTTCGGCTCCCTGCAGAAATCCGCTCGCGCGGCGCGACTCTCGCGTTCCGTTCCGTTCCGTTCCGTTCCGTTTCGGTCTCACAGCCTTCCAGAGCATTCCCCGGAGCCCGGGTTCGCGAGAGCGTTCGATGCCACGGACGGAACTGGAAGTCGTAAAGCCTCCTCCTCGGGTGTTCCTCCTCGGTATCGACCTTGTCCACGAAGATTAAGATCGTCGTGGCTCGATTTTACGGAGCACGATCTCGCGCCGCGCGCACTCTCGCGCCGCTACACGCGAGAGAATCCTTATCGATGCTCTCCCTCTCGGATCGTAGTCACGCTCCGGTGTTATTTCTCCCGTGCCAGCGAGCCGTCTCGAAAATCGAAAGGAGAGGAAGGCAGAAGGGAACGGAGAAGGAAAGAGAGTCTCCATTTCTTTCTACGCGGCGAAACACGGCAGACCGTTTAACGATGTCCGTTCCACGCCAGCGACTCGCCGATCGACTTTCACGGAGAACGCATCGGTGCAGAAGATCGCGACGATTCGCCTTGAAACATCCTTTCGTGACTCTCGTCCTTGACGATAGGCGCTCGCGAGACGCCGCCACGGAGACGCCTCTATTTCGGTTCCACCTCTCTCATCGACGCCGTGTGGCGCGACCCTTGGCCACTCCAGACTTCCACGGTCCCACTTCCGAGAACTATTTTCAAATTCGCTTTCCTCCACCGCTCTCTCCTTCGTTATTAGCGTACGAGTGTCCGCGACGCGACACGACACGACGTGACGCGACGCGTGGAGGACGGGCGGTTCCTACTCTCTTACCTACTCTCACCTATGGGGGCCAAGATTAGATCGACCTTGGCAATGCAGACGGCAACCGACCGCAAGCCACTTTTATCCGCGTCAAAATTCTCGTGCACCCGACGCGAGCCTGTCTGCTGCAGGTACGACCTCGAAGACACCGCGGTGACCGCCGCGCTTTATTACCGGAGTCTCGCGAGAAATCCACACCGCGACGCCGGTCCACGATACCAATGTGCCGGGGTTCCCTCTTCGTCGAACCTCGGCCACCGACCTCTCCCGCGAACACGCGGTGCTAATAAACCTCCGGGGCCCGTCCTTTCCATCTTTCCACGCCTCGGGTCGCTGCAAATAATCGCCCAAAGGATACTCTTTATCTCTCGCGGTTAGGTTGCTAGTTTCTCGAAGGAAACGGTCCGCCGATAATCCAATTCCGCTTGGACCCGCGATCCTCGAGGACGGCTAACCGGACGAGAGCGATAGTTGCACGGTCAGCCAACGCGAACTGAACTGGGTCAGTGGTCTGCGAACCAGCGCCGGGCCCCACTTTTCTCCTTAACATCCTTCGGAAGTAATCGTCGGCCGACAAAAAGCGCGCGACTTACGAAAGTTGAATCATCAGCGGCGAGGATGGATGGGCGTCCTCGGGCGCGCGAAATTTCCTTGGCGAGCCAGGGTCCAGAGCGAGAGAAGGACGCAAGGGGTCCCCGTTCGAGGCGTTGATCGACGAGCCTAAATTTCGGAGACGAGCGAGCGTGAATTTAACCGGGGCCGAAAAAGCAGCGGCGGGCACGAAAAAGTCTCGACGGACGAATCACCGCAGGGATCCTGGCAGATGCATTAATCGGACTGTGGCGCAGCTGTCAGACGCGGGCGAGTTAAGCTCAGGCAGCGATGTCGAACGGATCGCGAAACGTGCTTCGTTCGTCACGAAGGTGTCTTCCGTTTCGAATGGAAGCTTGTGCCGATGACGAATCGACGAGGCCGTTAATGACGGAGAAAGTCGGGGTAACGAGGACACAAGGACAAAGGGGATGAAAGGGCGAAGGAATGGGAGAGGAGCGCCGGTAGCCGCAATTAGACGGGGACCGTCGAAAAGAAAAATGGAGGGTATGCCTCGAATCGAAGCACCGACTCACCGCGGGAGGACACGTTAATTCTACGGTAGCCGGTGACTACCCTCGCGGGGGGAAAGAGGGAGCAAAAAGGCGGGAGAAAAAGAAATCGAGTCGGCTGTCGTCGCGATCGTGGCTCGATCTTTTTGCGCCAATTTACAAAGGTAAACCCGCCACGTTCCATCGGCGATTTACTTCTACATGCCAACCCGAGTGGAATTACCGCGGCGGGTAATTGAGCAATTCTACGTGCAGTTGCTTCTCGTGGTTTCCGCCGCGAATCTCTCCGCCGATCGTGCGTTATTAAAGGGAGCCTCGTTGCATCGATACGCGAAAATGGCGAGGAAATGGCGAGGAAATGGCGACTCTCGCGTCTCCCTTGCGCGCGGCGCGCAGCGTTACTCGGAGTAGCTCGGATAATCCGGTTGCTGGGCGAAATTAAGGGTCGTGTAATCTCGTTAGGTTAGAAGTCGAAGATAAGCGAGTTCACGAACAAGAATCGTCCGCGAGACGAGTGGACAAAGAGAGAAAACCCATGGGAGAGATTAGACGAACAGACGTCGGCTGGCTGGTTTCGAGTATAATCGCGTTCCTCTCCGTCCGCGATCGTATTTACAGTCGACGATTGATCCGACACGACCTACCTTAGATAAGAAACGCATCAGTGTCTAATGAGATCATCGTTACGCGTTAGAATGCAAACGCGCGTGTTTTTCGAACGAGTTAACGGTAATCTCGACATCGTTGCCGCGAATGATCGGTATTCCCGCTGCGCGCGAGACCGCGCACTCCGCGCCAATGCTATGACGGCGCGTAAAATTTTATGCTAATCGCCGCGAACTGGTTGGAAGAATTACGCGGCGACACCCGCGCGTCGATTGCTCGCACGCGCTAAACTTGGTAACGTTCGCCGCGCGCGAACGCGTGGAAAGCGGGTGAAGCGGGAAACGACGAGCGATTCCGCTCCCCGGCTTCCTAGTTGGATCGTTTCCACCTGTCGCGACGCGGAGATTCGAAACGACGACTGCGGTGATGGAATACACGAGGATGACTCGCGAGTCGCACCGTCATCGACTCGCGCGCAGCGAGAAGGGCGAAACCGGTGACGAGCGGAGAGAGAGATCGGCAAACACGCGATAAGCTTCGTGGAAACGACGTAGATGGGGTTCCGCGAATTCGATTATTTTTTATCTCACGGTTCACGCGGGCGACGAGCTACCGAGAGAGGGGCCCTACGGTAGCGAGGAGCCGTCGGGCCGATTCCCCAGGGTTTCGGCGAAACGCGGCCTCGTGGCGAGGCATTAAGGAATGACTTTGCCACCTGACCACGCGGGGAACACCCATAAATCGGCCGTAAAGCCTTACCGCGGAAGCTCGTTCGGTCGTGCATAAAATTCGTGGCCCGCTGTCTCGCGGGGTCCTGCGGGACCGTGTGCCCCGACCATACTTGGGAGTCGCGGTCGGTCCCCTGAACCCTAGTCGCGACGCGACGAAATTCGCCTCTCGGCAGAGTTTTAAACGGTAATGAAGTCATCGTCACCGAGGAGATGATAAGCGGGGGCAGACATCAAAAAGCGTAAGAGATGATGCATAGGACCGTTTCGCGGACTGCTAATCTGCACGGCGATGAATCATCGGCATCGCTGTCTACCAGTATAAAGAAGCCGCGTGCAAGCGCTTAATGAATCGACAAAAATAGGCCGAATTCCAACGAATTGTAGGCCAGGCCTGAGCGGGCCGGGGCCTTTGCGCGCGTTTCACCGCGTTCCACTGACTCACGGTCAGCCTTAATAACCGTATTTAAATTTAAGCTAGCGTGGAAACCCATGAGGAGGCAGCTGGAGAGGACAAGCTCGCTCCCAGGAGAATCCTTTATGGGGCAAGTCTCGGGTAGAATCGCAACGATGGGAATCGCGCATCGGTTGGCGAACCGCGTTTACGCGTAACGGACGCGTGACCGCCATCAGGCACGGATCCAACGCGTCTTCCGAAACGATCCATCTCGTAGCGATCGATCCGCGGAACGATTTCCATTCCGACTCGATTTGAACCAATCGCAGGCGAGAGATTGCGAGCCGAGTATCGCGAGATACGCCTATCGCGGCATCGAGATCTCGCGCGGCGCACGAGATCCTCGGGGCCTGGTAAATCGGTGACTCACGAATTTCACCGCGGTTTACGAAACGTTCGGCACGCATAGGCTAATTAATTCCTGGAAGCTCGCGAGCAACGAGAATCGTCTCTGGGACGCTTTGCTCACCGGCGTCGTGTGTGTGCATCTGGACTGGCACATACGGAGGATTGGATACCGTCCAAGACGAAATGCACGTAATCCTCGAGTTATTTAACATCCCATCCGTAATACCGGTGATCGGTGACGACAATGGCGGAGGTGACTAAACCCTCGCGACATTCGTCGCGCGAAACCGGCGACATTTAAACCCTGCTCGTGTTCCTCCACGCGTTGCGATTCGCTCGTCTCCGCTGATGTACACACCACGAATATACAGACGCGACGTCCCAGCGATATCCACGTTTGCGGATGCATCATCGAGGAGTTGGAACGGTTCCAGGTCGAATCGCGCGCGATCGAGTTATTAGCCGTGGATATCGCGTGTCCAGCGAGCGACCGGTCGTTGCTTCCGCGTCAACTAGCGGTCTGACAAACACAGGGGGTTGGAAATTAGGCGCG